TTTCGTACACGTTTCTTTTTTCAAACATCCTTTTATCTTATAGATGTATTACTTGTCAAAAGTGGCACAGGTCAAGTATTGCTAACACTAGGATCCAAATCCCACCCTATTATTTCTACCCTAGTGTTCTTTCAACTAAAGCTGCTCTCTTCTCATTAGGGTGATTTTTAATTATACTGTAAACCTCTGGTTTTTGTTTTCCCTGTATACTGGCTTTATAAATATCAAATAATGGGTAGCTCAATGGTTGAGCATCTGCCTGTGGCTCAGGACATGATCCGGGCTCCCTGTCATGGATTCTACTTCTCCCTCTGCCTGTGTCTCTGCCACCCTCTGTGTCTTTCATAAATAAATAAAATCTTTAAAAAAAAAGTGTTTAGATCTTTCAACCTGATTTGGGTAGCTTTACCGTAGTTACGTAGAAAAGGACCAGAGATACTAAAGTACAAGGTATAATTTTTAGGAATTTTTAAATTAGAGTCTGGCGAGGCCAGTGTAGCATGGCGATGAAGGGAATCAGACTCAGCTTGTAGTTTTAGCAAATGAATCTTTCCATGTCTGTGATGCTCCAACAAAAACGGGAGACAACCCTCAGTGAGTTGTTAGGAAGATTAAGATAAACACTTAGAACACTGGAGAAATGTGTCAATGTTAATAATAGCTAACATATATTCTAATACTGAATGAAAGACTTCACTGTTATCTGTTGTTACCTAGGAAAAATCCTCAAAAGTAACTAAGAGCATTCCTTGATAAAACCCTTTGATGGAAAGATATTAGTAAAATCTCTACAGAGCTGTAAGTTTATTGGAAATGAGTATCTTTCCCTTGTGCAGAAAGTGATGTGAAGTTTTGATTACCACTTTTTTTAAGTGCCAGAGGTAGAGTACAGAGAAAAGCAATTAAAGTCAGTGATTAGAACTCCTAAAAGGATTAGATCTCTTCAGTGTGAAAAGATCACTGAGAAATGAAAATATTCTAGAAGTCTGAAACTGAGAATGAATAAGAACTTGCATGTTTTATTTTGTATATTAAAAATAAGTATTAAGAGTGGAAGGATAGTTTAGGGCAAATCAAATTCTACATTAAAGAATGAATAATAAATCTAAGCAATTTATCAATAATACTTCATTTTCTGAGAATTTACTGTATGAGAACCTTCACCGAGAGATGACATGACCCGTAAAGTGACATTTGAAGGCGATATTATAAATGTGCCCAGTGTACGGCAGAGTTTGCCAATGCTTCTACCTGCAGAGATGTTAGGGAGCACAGAGGATTCACAGAAACCTAGATTTGTGCTGGGTCCTTAAGGAGAGTAAGGCTTTGCCCAAATGGTTGAGAAGGCTTTCCACACTGGTAGACAACAAAGGCAAGAATGAGCAAGATGTGTAAGAATTCCTTGAGTAGTAGACTGATTTATCTATACGGTAAAGGCCTTGACCTTGTATCTTCTGGGGGATAACCTCTGAACCTTTGCAATACCCTTCCCGATAAGAGAACTTTTGTATGCCTGAAGGCCTGGGCCATGCCTGTTTCCGTTTAGTTTCTGAGGGTTGGAGATGCAGTAAGGAAGGCTAGTCCTGTGGGAGCTACATACCCATCTACATATCTATTCATTGTTTACAGAGCCCTGATAAAAACCCTCGAGCACTAAGACTTGAGTGAACTTCTCTGGTTGCCAAGACTTAGCATGTGTCATCAAATATCACTGGGAAAATTAAGTGCTCTCTGTGCAACTCCACTGGGAGAGGACTAGTGGAAGAGTATACCTGGGTTTGTTTTTTTTTTTTTTCTGGGATTTCACCCGAAGTATCTTTTTCCTTGCTGATTTTAATCTGAGAAAAGGGAAAGCAATCTAATAATCTGTAGTCTTGAGACCACAGCTGAGATCTGCCCTCAAACCCTTGATGGGTGAAAACAAACTTGGTTACTACATTAACTATCAAACATATTAGAGCAAATAAACTCTAGGCCTAATCAGGCTTCTCAGAAAAAGAAAGAAAAATATCAAACCAAAGGAAACACAGTTAAATCTCATTTCTTGAAGATCCAGGATCTTAACTGCATCCCTTCTCTTGATACTGTGGGTACAAAGGTACCAGGGGGTGAGGGTGGGGGGGGGGGCAGAGATTGGGTTGGAGTCTGGCAAAACTGGAGTTGAATTATAGTTCAGCACAGAGTAGCTACGGAATCATGGGTCAATTAACCAAGCCCTCTAAATCAATTTTGTAATTAATAAAATGGTAGCATGCCAACTTTGCAGAGCTAATATGATGTTACACAGAGAACACGTGTTAAGCACATAATGTCCTATCTAGCCCAGAATAAAACACCGAATAAATGTCTATTCCATTTCTCTTCTTTCCCCTATTTAAGAGTGGATCTATAAAAATCCTACCTGCTAATGAGTCCTCTTCAGAACTCTCATCCATAACTAAGAAGTAAAAATGAATTTGAATCAGCAATAGAAAAAAATATGCAATAATATTATGAGTACAATACTCTTATGCTTCACTGCAAAGTATCCCTAAGGAACACAACTGGAGAATATTCCAGAGTAAGTATTAATTATACGTGTGGTAGGCAAGTGATGCATTACGATCTTCCCCACCATCACAAATCATATGCAAGGGAGGATATGATTTATCAAAATATGATACAAGTGAATTACAATGCTAGCCTACCCCAATTAAATCAACAGAAATAGCATCATGAGCAGAATTGGTATTACAGCTAGAGAATAACAGATTTGAATAGCACGATTTCTCTAGACCTCTTCCATTAGGGGCACTAAGGAGACAGCATACCTACTTAGCTGATTCTTCAGTTCAAGGAGGGAACGTCGGTAGAGACTGTTCAGTTCAGCAGGAGGAACCCATCATAAGGTCTAGAGGCACTGATTTGCCACATTAAAAAACAGGTAAGAGACAATGATCCTTGCAAAAACGTTCCAGTGGCCAGGGGAGATGAGTACAAAAGAGACAAGTGTATTTGCTCCCTCTTCTCAGAGAGATGGCAATAAACTCATTTAGTCCTGGGCATTTTATGTACCCTGTGAAGAGAGTCCTGCAAACATGGGCTATTCCTTGGAAGAATAAATGGAAAAGTCCAATGCTAAGAATTTACCTACTCTAGACTACGTGGAGGTTCTACTCAGTAAGTTTAAGATCAACCATTTGGGGGCACCTGGATGGCTCAGTTGGTTAAGTCAACTCTTCACCTCAGCTCAGGCAGGTCTTGATTTCAGAGTCATGAGTTGAGCCCCACACTGGGTTCCATGCTGGACGTGGAGCCTTCTTTAAAAAAAAAATAGATGATAGATAGATAAATGATAGATAGATAGATAGATAGATAGATAGATAGATAGATGATAGATCGATCAGCCATTGAGCAGGTGGTGGAACTTTTCCAGAGTGGAACCTGCCAGATATGTAAATAACAATTTCATCAACACAGCCAAGCTGCCAGAGGGTGACATTAGGTGTCCCTGTCTCTACTGGGAGGATTCTTGTTCGTACCATGTAAGCCAAAACAGTGTCATTTAAAACAAAGTACTTTTCACGTCAGAGAAACTAGTAGAAAGCAAGCCATATGGTGTGGTACAGGCTGTTTTCAGATCATCCCTCAAGAAGATCCCTTCTGCATGTATATTTTCCCCATAAAGAGATGGTCATGGAAGAGTCTGTGATTCTAGTTTTTTAAGATGACCTCCTGAGATTCTGTCCTTTAGTGCTGGAGACTCAACTATTGCATAACAGGATGGTCCAAAGAGTTAGTGTTGTGCGATGTCATTTTCTTACAACAGGCCCTACACCAAAGGACAAGAAAGACCTTTTCCATTAACTTGGCATTTTCATTTTTTACCCATTCAGGCGGTCAGCTGCATGACTTAGCAGCTGAGAAAATTGAATATAAAGATCAAAGTAAGACAATCTAGGTATTACTCTCAAAAGCATATGGAAACACACAAAGCCAGTAATTTTTAATGTGTATTGAGGTAGGAAAAATACTTTTCGTTCCCCAATATTAGAGACACACTACCACACCTTTAGGACAATTATTTGTTGAGTAAGTGAATGAAGGAAAACAATGTTTTCCTTAGAAAAGATTCTCAAAAAACTATAGAAATTAATTCTGCTCTATAGTGACTACCTGGAAGATTAGAACTACATCTGTTTCATGTTTCACCTTCTGACATAGGTCATAGATTCATAGAACACCTACCAATTTAGACTAAACTAGGATGGCTTCATACAGTTGTTTAGGTCTGCACTGAACAAGTCACCACACCTAAGGGTACAATTTTCATTGCAGTAATTTTTTTCCTCTGACATATTTTCGTACTTCTGTTAAAAATTCAAGTTAAGTCCAGAGATGGGATGTTTTGTATATTTATTCTACAAATACAAATCTAGCTACTGGTAATAAAATATCTTTTTCTAACAACATTAATAAATGTTGTGAACTAAATGTTCATGCCCCTCCCCCAAAATTGACAGGTTGAGGCCCTAATTCCAATGTGATGGCCTTTGGAGGTAGGGCCTTTAGGAGGTAATCAAGTCACAGAAACCCTCATGAATGGGAATAGTGAGTGGCCCCATAAGAGACCAGAGATCTAGCTAGTAGCTCATTCAGCCATCTGAGGACACAGAAACCAAACCAAGAAGAGGGACCTCCTCAAGAACCAGACCATGCTAGCACCCTAATTTCAGACTTTCAGACTTCAGAATTGTGGGAGATAAATGTTTATTGTTTAAGCCACCTCATCTATAGTAATTTGTTATAGCAACCCGAATGGATTAAGATGAAATGGATTAAGACAATTAGCCAACAAATGGAAGACAAATATTTTGTCCTAATGAAAACAACTCATTCTCTCCAACTTATGAAAGACAAAGGTTAATAGATTGTTAATGTAACAATATACAAAAGAACTTGTGATTCTCAATATGGAATTGCCTTTCCAACTTAAGGTAAATTAAAAATGTAACCTGACAGTGCTCGCTTTGGCAGCACATATACTAAAATTGGAATGATATGGAGAGATTAGCTTTGCCCCTGTGCAAAGATGACATGCAAATTCGTGAAGTGAAGCATTTCATATATATATACACACATACTCATATCCTGACATTTTTTTATTGAAGTTCGTATTGCTTTGTGTTTGTTTACAGTTTCAGTTTAAATAGACAGATGCTTTTATTATGAATAAGTTGATATCATTTATTATAAGAATTTGTTTTAAAAATAACAAACCCATTTTATAACAAATCCACTGTTCGTAATTACATAGAAACAAATAACACTTAATTATTTTCTAATTTATACAAAGACACCATATGGATTTAATGAACTTCTGAAACTAAATTTCTCTTCGGACGTTGTTATTTCAGAATCTCACAATGAACATCTTACATAATCATAAATTGTAGAATTTTAAGCAAATGAAATTTACATATTGATTTTTAAATAGCTCTTTTATTATGAAAACTTTTATAATCTTCCTTTCTAGATCTTTGGCAGAACCAACAAGAGAAAGGCCACTATCAGAAGTTTCACTGATAGCTATGTTTGAAATAAATATTTGGGTCTTCTTTATTATTTTTTTCTGGGATATCACATGGGATATTTTCACATAGGAAAAAATGTCATAAATAACATTGCTATTTTAATCCTGATATAATGTACCAGCCATAATACATAACTCTCATATTTCTCATAACAGGACAGAAGCTCATAACTATTAATAATAAGTATATAAAATTGGCATATAATTTCTATAGACTTCAAATTTCTGAGCTACACTAGCTTTATATTAGCATTTAAGTGAAAAATTGTCATCAAGTAGTCCTGAATTGAGGGCAGTACATTTCATTAAATCAACCAGGGTGACATGATATGGTGGAAAGATCCTGAAGTCCTGAAGATTAGTCTAGGCACATAGCTATTTTTTCTTGGTCAAGTATTTTCTCTTCGGCTTTTGTAAGATGTGACTTTTGCCTGACCTTCCTAACTCCCAAGTGTTGTCGTAGGGATTTAATGACATAACATATACAAATATTTTTGTGAGATTTTCACAAGGTTTTAAATCCTAATATTACTTATTAGATGGCTTATGGCTTTGGTTTGTCATTTCTCAAATTGCACTCCACTACTACATTGCTTGTAACTAGAATTACATATATTACAAGTCATTAGATAATAGATTTGTGATTGCATAGAAGAAACTTTAGGGTCTCCATTAACAGTGGCCATCATGCTAATGGAAGACAGCTAACAGAGGTCAAGACTGATGTGGAAAACTATTCCCACTCTGTCCATTCACATTCCAAACCAGATGATCTTTGGGAGAATAATACTCAATCTCCAGGTCGATCCCCCCAGTTGTTTGGGAAGGTGGAAACCACCTTTTATTCTTGGATTGTGATACATGTGTGGGTTTGAACGAACCTTCCCTAAGAGATTTAGGTCCTCTAGATTCAGAGAATCCTGTTGAACCTCGAAAATTATGACAGCCTCTCCTGAAACAAGTACAGATACAAGAAGCCACATGGGGGTTTTTAATACTTATCAAACTCAGAACTTGAGTAGCTGACCTTAGTAGTGGGGACCTAAGGGAAGTAGTAGTCCCCCACTGCCCTGGAGGAAGAGGACACAGGAATTTTCAGTCTGACACAGACAGCTACAAAGGACTTAGGTCTTGGGAGACCATCTAGGAGGAAAGAAAGAGACTGATGCCTTTTTGCAATACTATCTGAATCTGATCACTTCAGCTGGGCCCTATTAGCACTCCTTGGATTTGCACCCTAAGTGTTGTAATTCCCTCATCCTAGTTGCAGCCCTGATTTCTTAGCAAGAAGAACAAAGGTGTCCAAAGGGAATCTAGCATGAAGGTCTGGGTGATGATCTGAGCTCCACATAGTTCTGACTGAAATGAATGAATGCTTTGGAAACAATACCTGAACACTTCGTTGTACACTAAAAGAACCATACTCTAAGAGTCCAGGCATGGTTCACTACTAAAGATCGGGGCCAGCACTTACAGACAATTGAGCTTTCCCTACTAATTTGGATTTTCATCATGATTCAATACTGGTTCTCATATATATTTGGATGTGTTTCTAAGCTTCCTATTCTATTCCATTCATTTGTCCATCTACTCTGTGCTGTCATTAAAAAAAATTAGTGGAAATGTATAGATCTCTTAATCTTTTTGCAAAACTTAATATCATCATAAAAGTCTACCAGAATAGCATCAAGGTTACTTCTAATTTTTTAAATCTTGATACTTTGATTTGGTCTACAGGAAATTGCTAAAATACTAAGAGAAAAGTTTACACATTTTAGATAAATAAGTCTTGGTTCGACAACATGGAGCGCCTCTCCACTCCAAGGGTTTTTCTTAGATGCCTTAGGAAAGCATATAGTTTATACCTATCTATCTACCTACCTAAAGTATATTGATGAAAACAATAAAGAGATCAGCACCTATTAGAACCAAACCCAGAACACTGACAAGATCAAACGCAGGTGAGGATGTGGAGCAAAAGAAATTCTCATTTATTGCCCGTGGGAAGGCAGAGCAGCATAGCCACTCCGGAAGACAGTTTATCAGCTTCTTACAAAACTAAACATACTCTTACCATATAACCCGGTAATCACACTCCTTGGTATTTATGTAAAGGAGTTGAAAACTTATGTCCATGAAAAATCTTGCACATGAACATTTATAGCAGCTTTATCCATAATTGCCAAAACTTGGGAGCAACCAAGATATCCTTCAGTAGGTAAATGGATACTGTGGTACGTCCACACAGAATATTGTTCAGTGCTAAAAAGAAATGCGCTATTAACCATGAAAAGACTGGAAGAAACTGAAATGCACATTACTAAGTGAAAGAAGCCAATGTGAAAAGGCTCCATACTATATGATTCCAGCTAGATGGAATTCTGGCAAAGGCAAAACTGTGGAAACAGTAAAAAGAGGTTGTCAAGGACTGGAGGGAGGGTGGAAGGAATAGGAGAACACAGATGGTTTTCATGGCAATGGAACTCACCTGTAGGATACTGTAGTGGTGGATGCATTTCCTTATATATTCGTCCAAACCTATAGTACATACAATTCTGAGGATAAAAAGCATCTGAATAGGGACGCCTGGGTGGCTCAGCGATTGAGCGCCTGCCTTTGGCTCAGGGCGTGATCTCAGGGTCCTGGGATCAAGTCCTGTATTGGGGCCCTGCAGGGAGCCTGCTTCTCCCTCTGCCTGTGTCTCTGCCTCTCTCTCTGTGTCTCTCATGAGTAAATTTAAAATAAAAAATAAATGACACTGACAGGATTTAAAGAAATTTCTCCTCATACAGCCTTAAAGAATTGTTAACATCATCAACCTGCTACTTTTGTACCTAGCTTAACCATGCAAAATGGTTTCACATTAAGGACTTCCATTTTAAATTTTATTATTCAAAATAAATCTTATTCATATAAATCTACTTAATGTGTTTCTCTCTTCCCCCTCTTATAAAATATAATGAGATGGTCAAATAAGAAAGTGGTTTTGGTCATTTATGGTTTCTGGTCTTTCATTTTTTTCATAGAATCATCTTTTTTTTTTCAGTCAACTTTTGATTCAAGTGGATCTTAAAACACTAGAAGATGCTGGGGGAAATACTGGCGGTGTATTTTATGAAACATGCTTTCATATGTTGTGAACTAATAATCTCAATTGTAGAACTCTGTATCCAAAGGACATTAATTCCAAAGAAGAAAACATGGATAGCGAAACAAGCTTTTCAGTCTTTAATAGTGGGGGGAAAATGAGAAAAAAAAATATAAGACCTCACAGTAAGGGAATGTCTGAGTGAATTAGAGTGTCATATAGCCAATCAATACAATTTATATCAAAGATACATGATTCCAAGGATGCTGCAGTAGTATAAATGTGGCATAAAGGAGAAAAGATCTGCCTCATGAGAACAATCTTGGGAAGCGATTAGCATATCATCTTTATATTACATTAAAGGAGCCAAGGCTATAGTTAAGAAGCTTGAGCATTCTTCTGCTTCTAAGTGGCTAGGTAAGAATTTGAGTCTGCTATGTATTTTCCACTCTGCTACTTAAAACATCAGTGGAAATCCTAAATATATACAAGAGGTGCAGAAGTTGGCAAATTTTTCTCTTATAATGATTATACAGGGCAGAAAAATTATTTTGAAATCTTAATAATAACTTGTTGATCAAGTACTAACATTTTGTCAAGACTTAGAAGTCAGGAGATAAAGAAATTGATACTAGAATATTTGTGAAAAAGTGAATACACAAATGGACAGTAGCCAGATCATATATGAAAAAAGAACTCTGGCCCATAATCTCTGCAATCAGCCCAGAATTCAGTGAGTGAAGGTTTTGACCAAAGCCTTGTCAGTGACTGCCAATTTCCCAATATTTCATTCCTCCCTTCTTCTACTTCCAACTCAGCACAAGCCAGAGAAAGGCAAATATGCTCCTCAAATTAATCGCATAAGATGCAACACTTCTAATTAACCAATCTCTAGCTTCCCCATGCCAACTACCCGTAGACTTCAAGGATGAAGTCTTCCATCTTTTTGAATATTAGAACTTTCCACTTTCCTGCTTTCCTTGGGAGTCTCTGTCAAATGTAAGTGATAATGGCTGACTCCCTTCAACAATCTCTGAACTGCTTCTATTTATCCCCATTTGGATTATCTTTATTTCCACAGGTTTCTTAGATCACTCAACAAGATTTATTTATATCACCTACCACTACAGATCCCAATTTCAACTGGGTGCAAATCCCACGGAGACAATCCCCTTTGCTTTCAGGGGCTTATTGAGTCCTTGCTAGCAGAGAAAGTTATGATGGTCTGAACTCTGCTCTCTTCATGTTGAGTTTCTGGGCAATTTATTCTCTACTTGGTAATAAACTCAATGAATTTTTTTAGTTTCTCAGTATAAAAAAATTTTTAGTTTCTCAGTATAAAAAAAGTTTTTTTTAACACTTTATTTATGTTTAATGATTTACAGAGAATATTTAATAATCAGAACTCACCATTTGCAATATTGTACATTAAATTATAATATAACC